ACAAGTGAAGACAAATGTTAGTGTTGACTGTTTTTAGAGTAAGATTAGAGATTAGGGGTGACACATGCACGGGACTTATTACAAAATTTGTGGCTGCTAGCTTGTGAATGGCTTTTAATGGCTGAGATATGGAATTCACAGCTCGAAAAATGGAATCACAGCTGGCAAATCCATAAAACCATGGCTAAAAAAATTCACTCACGGCTCACCAAGTAGATATATTCTATGCCTGCTTTCTGCTACACAGTAGGATAAATGTTGATATTTACACCACTACTTTTAGTTTTGCAATTATTTCAATTAGTTTTGTAGCTAGGCCTATAACAGTTTTACACCACAACAGAGGTCTATCCCAATAACCCCACACTCAGTATGATGTACATTTTCATGAAATTTTCCTGCGCATTATGACTTTTTTTAAGCCATTGCTGCGCACAGTCGGCACAACTTCTGGCCATCCCTGCTCACGCGCAGCGTGCTGATACATTTTGTCACGGGACACAAGACAGAAAACTTAGAATACTCTATAAGCATTCCATCAATAATCTAAGATTTTCCTTGATATGGAAATTTTGTGAAAGTAAAAATCTAGAAATTTATTTTAGAAGAAATTTTCTATACATCTCTTATGTTTACCATCCATCGTTTACCATCGTTTTACATTCTGTAGACCAACCGGACGTGAGGCCATATTCCGTCCGGATGCGAGGCGATATTCCGTCCAGACGTGAGGCAAGTGGTAAAGAACCAAGTCCTCAGAAATTGGGCATATGCAGTAAACAAATATTAGTGATAAATGACAGATTTTGCTTCTTCCATATATACTAATAGTGCACTGATAGGGTTATTTAAGGTTCTACAGTTAATGAAAGAAGTCAGAAATAATTTCATCATTCTAATTATTGGAAAATAGTTTTGAGTGCGAAAACTTTTGTAAATAAAATATGCCTAGACATAACTGCCATCAGAAATTCCCAACAAAATGGTATGGCAACATCGTCTTTATAGACTTTCATGCAATGCTGATACATTGTGATTGTCATGTGTCATGTGATTGTCATGTGTCATGTGATGTGTCTCATGATTCTTGAAGCTATTCGAGTATTCATATTTACAAATGTTTGTTGTTCATCAATATAATTAACCTTCAAAGTTGCAAAAATGATAACTGATAATTAAAAAAATTCCAGTACCTGTATTTTTGCATTCAATGGGTTTGCACTGCACAAACCCATTCCACCAGCTGGGAGGATGTTGGGAACATAATGTATTCCCAACATTGACATACGGGTTTGTACTATTGGCCAAAATCAGTCCTTCATTTGAAGGCACCAATCTCAAGCCATGTGGATTGTCACCTTCTACTATTTAGTTTTGTAATTCATTTCCAACCGAATTGTGAACTATGAATAATGAATACATATTCGTAACTGAGCTGACTCTTAGAACCTGAGTTAACACGTTAGAAATCCAGTCAACTTTTTCTTGATGCAGATATTTGTTCGCGTGTCTGTGTGATAGCGTTGCCACGCATTCATCTTTAAACAACTTTATGAGCACGGCACATGGCGCATTTTTTTATTGGCATATTATGGCGCAGATTGATAAAATGACAATAACATCTATATCTTCCTGACCATGGCAATAACCCGATTTACCCCACCTGTCCCTTATTACCCCATATGATGGTAGGGTAAATGCACCATATTCCAACATCGTGGGTAATTCCGACACTTCTCAACTTTTTTGTTATATTAAGCTTTGTCTTAGTTCCACGCATGTGTAGATGGTTGAAATAGTGATGCCATACTATTGCGCGCAATATTTCTGCAAAACACTAGGTCTGGCAGGAAAATGTTAAGATCCTCAAAGCCAAAGTCCACGTCACCCAGTGAGAACATCGAAATGCGTGTCAAAGTTGATAGTTGACCTTGCTCTACCAAATAGTGATAAACTGTTTGTGTATAAAGAATATTATGGTTTGAAACTTTTAAATAAGTTGTGAATATGTTAGAAATCCTAAAGTATACTTGTATTTGCTGATTTTAAGTGGTAAATAAATTAATAGACGATTAACTTAAGAGACTGTTTTAGACACATAAAAACTAATTCCAATGCAGAACAGAATTAGACACACACAGCTTGTTATGAGCTGTGTCGTATTCCGATACAGCTCAAACAGGACGTTGAAATGCCAACACAGGGCGTCAGAATTACGAATTACAGTTTTGAAGCGCTGTCTCAATTAGTCTCACGATACGTTGAATTTAGTCACACACAGCATCACAATGCAGCGATTTTGTAGATTTGAATTGTAAAGGCTTTTAAATAAAAATGGCAACAGTTTGTGACGTTTCATCATTGCTGGCGCATAGTGTGGTATTTTGAGTGACGTAAAGCAATCAGAACTCGAGTTGCGCATACGGTGATCTTTTTATAGCCATTCATTTCTTGCTAAGTCTTCAAAGTGTCGGAATATGGTGTGTTTATCCTATGCACAGCACTCCGCAGCAGCACAATGCATGCACCTGTGTCATGTATTACTCCTCCTCAATTAGCCTACACACAGCATGAGCCCTTTAAATGCCAATATGAATATGGAATATCAGCTATTATCATGTGGAATTTTTCAAAAATGTAAGAAAAAGTTCATTCAACAAGTAAATTTAGGTAATTTTATTGAAAATTGTAAGCAAAAATTAGTCATTCCTCACTTTTTACTGAAAAAAAAATCAAGTAAAGCCACAAAAACCTGTGACATTGACTGGATGACTGCATTCATTGGCATTCTTGCCTCATCCACAGGTGGCTAACTGTGGCTTCTGGGGCCTTCCGCTAAATTTTCCAGTTTACGTAGCTAGGTCATAGCCTATGTAGGCTAGCCTACTAGCCTAATATGGCTTATAATGACTAGTAGGATTCGTTGATTCTGGGTCAAATATTGTCCTCTTTCAAAGTCCCAATGAATAAGACCCTTTACATTTTATAATAAGTAGGTATGTGCACAAAGTACGCTCAAACGTAAACAATGGCAAAATGGCGGACAGCCACTTTAGGCATCGGCGCGCGTAAGGTATTTAATTTTGAAAGTCCCGCCAAAATGTTAGCTTAATTTGATTGACTTTTGTTTGGAAACGAACTGAAAAAACTTGAACTATGACGACATCATTTTTTTCTGAGAAATGTCTATCAAGTACCTGCTTAGCTGGGATGTGCAAGAGGTAACATTTGGGCGAGAAATGAACATGGATATCATACTTTGAAATTAATGAAATATAATTTGAAATCAAGATTATAGTTTTTAGAGCATGCTCTCGAAATTTCAGAGCTTTGCAGCCATTCGGACAGTTTTTCTACCATGTCCTGTTGCGCTGTTTACGTTCAGTTCAGTCATGAGCCAGTGAGGTAACTATCGACTATCGACTGGCATGCGGTTGTTCAACGACCAGATGACCTTGAGATAAATTTTACAACGACTCTCGTGCCACACTATGAGACCTGGGCCAAGACCATGAAACTGAAATTTATTCAATCCAATTCTGCCTTCAAGTTAAGTTATAGCATTCCTATCTAGCAGTTGCACCCATTTCCCCCACCCACCTGCAGTCTAAGTCTCAACCAAAGTGTTTTATTCTAGTTAGAATAGATAGTCTACAACATGAGCTTTCCAATGGTACTAAAAACTTTGAAATTGGCTCATAGCATTAGGTACCTATATCAGAATCAGACAAGCACAAGCTGAATATCTTACTTACATTCAGTTTCAGTAGGTAACTAGGTATAGTGTTACTGTGTTAACACTGTTATGGTAAATGTATTCGTCACATATTTTATCAGTGGACCCACTGAACTTGTGCTGACACCAAAGGTTGTTTGAGAAAAGTTCCGAATTTGAAACTTATATGGACTAAATAATAATAAAAATGCATTTTGAAGTTCAGATAAAAAACAAATTGCTTTGGGACACTCAACGCACGAAAAAAAATCTGCACAAGAGTTTAAAAAAATAACATTCTAGAGTGTGGAGCCATGTGCGATATAGGTAGGTCCAGTGGCGTGATACAGCAAAATTATGGCACTACAGTGGCCTTTAACAAGTTCAAACTAAANTGTCGCGTGGAGAAGTTGCAGCGCAGTTTTTTTAGCTTATAGCCGTGGCCCCTGATGTTGGTTCTTGTTTCAAATTCTAGTAACCCTTCAGGGACTTTGTATAGAGTATAGACCATGAGTATACATACTTGTATACTTCAATGAGGTGTATACGTTATGCTTCTTTGATTAGTGAGTTAAAGACGGGAGATCCTAAACCAAAGAAAGAGATTGCAAATCAACTCATTTCGTAGGAAATATCGTAATAGTATATTATAAAAAAAATCGGCCATACGCTTGACTGGTGATGGTAGTGAGGTTGCATACAAACCGTCATGTCGTTACGTCGGTGTACTGTCAATTATGTTTTTAATTTCGACATCTCTGAATACGGAGTAATTTAAATTCATATCATGGCATAATTCAACTTGCAATCGACGTACNGACAGGCTATGGGCTATGTCTTATTCAGACAAGCACAAGCTGAATATCATCTTACTTACATTCAGTTTCAGTAGGTAACTAGGTATGGTGTTAACACTGTTATGGTGCTTAATGTATTCGTCACATGATATTTTATCAGTGGACCCACTGAACTTGTGCTGACACCAAAGGTTGTTTGAGAAAAGTTCCGAATTTGAAACTTATATGGACTAAATAATAATAAAAATGCATTTTGAAGTTCAGATAAAAAACAAATTGCTTTGGGACACTCAACGCACGAAAAAAAATCTGCACAAGAGTTTAGAAAAATAACAGTCTAGAGTGTGGACTGTGGAGCCATGTGCGATATAGGTCCAGTGGCGTGATACAGCAAAATTATGGCACTACAGTGGCCTTTAACAAGTTCAAACTAAATGCAATGATTGCCTTGTAATTAATCATTTTGATTCAATTAAAAAAATTCTTACCATGATTGCAGATTGAAAATGATTGTAGTCAATAAATTAGTGGAGCCTAACCGGCACCACCTAACCACTCGCAAAGGAAGCAGAAAGACTGAGATTGTTAGGTGGTTCTCGCTTAAATTTTGCAAGCTTCATGAAACATATTTTACTCCTATCGAAACGAATATAATTTAATAAAATTATAATTTGATATCAGTGACATGAATATTGGTAGTGCAAAAGAGAAAATTTAATTTTAATACAGGCACGAATACTTATTCCAGCGCGAAATGAGTTTTATATGCATTTTGAGTATATGATTTCTAGTTGCTCTCTAGACTGCTAGTTTAAGCTTCTTCATTGTATTTAGAAAGGACCCATAAGTTTATATTCGAATTCAAACATTTGGGAATCAATTTATTCAGGTATCTGAATAAATTTATGTTCATTGATAAGCCACTTCATTGAAGTTGATGTTCATTGAAAAGCCACTCCACCTGCACTGCTGGGTAGGTTAATTTATTTTCCGTATTGCATGGTTATGGTGCATGTCTTGCAAAAGGAACTCTGGAATATTTCGTGATTGGTATTCAAACGACAAGTTGTACCTTAAAGCTACAATAAGCCTTCAAAGGCATCATTGAAGACGCGCCTCAGTCGAAGATATTCCTTTCTCGAGCCTGGTAATGCAGGAACAGCCGCCACTGACTTGATCAGAATACGTATATTTGTTGGCGTCTAGAGTCGTAAACAGCACTGCGAATACTGAGAAAATAAATATATTATATTTGAAGAGTAGTCTACATGGACTAACTCATCGTCAGTGGTTCATTATTGCTATAAGTTTACCCAAAATGAGTGAAGGTGTGTAGGCAAAATTTACTGCCCAATATGCGATTTTGTTTCGTAAAAAAACCTGGAAAACACCAATGGAATTAAACTTTGAGTAAATGCAAGATCGACGGCAAGCTTAATCGGGTAATGAAAGCCGAACAATTTCTCGAACGTGTTCCTTTATGTCGTCGTTGTTTTTAATTGAGAGCTCTATCATTGTTCACGATTCGCTTTACTTCGGTGTGACAAAATGAGACTGCCCGTCGTGGGGCACTGCCACTGCTCTCATGATTTCTTCTATTAATTCATGCCGTTCTACCCCAATAATCCTAGCTTTTTCAATGGTAGCGATAAATAAGGATTGCGTTATAACATAACATAACATAGTGATGTCGGCGCTGAAGTGTAGGCCTGATGTGGCCTGTCGCCGATTCTTTTCCTTTTCGTGCCTTGTTCATAGATCTAAACTCGTGTCATTTGACCGGATCTTTTCATGACTGGCGATAGTTTGAAGTAGCTAGTACTAGACTTCCACCGGGTTCGATAAGGAGCGAGGCATTTCAAATCTGAACATATATTTTTCCATAGCTTTATCTAGTCTGTTCTTGAACGCGTTCATACTTGGAGCGCAAAAAAAATCGGCCATACGCTTGACTGGTGATGGTAGTGAGGTTGCATACAAACCGTCATGTCGTTACGTCGGTGTACTGTCAATTATGTTTTTAATTTCGACATCTCTGAATACGGAGTAATTTAAATTCATATCATGGCATAATTCAACTTGCAATCGACGTACCAAAAAAGTTCATATCAAACATTATGATTCATTTTACTCCAAAAAAATAATTTTCGAAAGCCTGTTCGAATTTTGCCTGTTGTTGCGTTTGATACTCTGAAAATTTTACTCGAGGCCCCTTCTTCAATTTAATACCGCATGCAGGCATGGTTGAGCAACGGACTGAAATAAGGTTTAAATGGCTGGGACGCCCGTCAGTCTACAGTCCTGTCTGTCAAACTTGGTATGATCAAATTGATAATGTGCGACTGATGACATGTGAAGGATTTGATTTCCTACAACGTTCGATTTCACTTGCATAGAGGTTCTCCGATACAAGACGTTCATAGTGCAGGAAAGCATTAGAGTGCACCAACCTTATAAGCAGTTAGGATCAAGAAGAACAGCGTTGCGCAAGTGATACTTTAAAGGTGCAGTCCGAAATACTGACTTGTATCAAAATCACATATTTTGCGGCTTAGAGAAAACCCATTTAAAATATTATTCAATCTTCCTAAGCGCCTTGTGTACTAAGCCACATATATAATATTACATTTAAGCTAATCATCCAACTCGGCAGCGAGCTCACAAAATGTAACATTCTTTCATACATTAAATTTAGAGTAAAATATTTTCAAGTTTCTTCTCACAGGGAAATTAAATAGAGCAGAACATGTCGACTGCTTGTCTGTGTCTCGTGGTAATGGTGGGTGTGACGATGTCTCAGTCTGCTGCTTCGCCAGCGGCCCACGGCAGCATGGGCGACTTGCGGGGTGAGACGTCGTTATCATGAGTCGAGTTCAATTTAATAATTAGGTTATATAAATTTATTTATAAGTTTATACCAGCTCGTCTACCTTCTTTTTGAATGACATATCGGCTTTCTTTTCATCCATCAAAATTATAATTTATAACTTTCTAAACATCGAAATATTATCTAAATAAAACAAATGCAATAAACTTCTTATAGCCTGAAATATAGCGCAATTACTAGATTTTATTAAAAAATTTATAAAAGACTTAAAAATGATTATGTTGTTTGAAAATTTATTCAGCGCACACGTGCAGATCTAGAGACTCACACTAATAGGTCGGTCGCTCATCTCTTGTGGTTTGCGTGTCCCATTTACGCAAGTTTCTTTGCTCAGTTTGTAGGCGAAATATTAAGACGTGCATAAAGACAACAAACACTAGGCATTGCTTCAGTTCAACAAAAGTCAAATTATATACTGTTTGTAAATTAATGATGCGGATATTATTAGAATAATTGTTGACTAACGTTTTCGCATTTTTGTATGGCAATATTTTAGCTATAGTTAATTATATTTTTTTCAATACTCGATGCTAAAACAAATTTACCTGTCCAAAAGGCTCTGACTACGACGTGAGTTCCACTCTCAAGCGAGAATATCGAGATATTCTTCGACATAATCAGCACAAAGTTCACGGCCTGCCGCAACAAATATTAAATACGGTCCCGCAACTAAATATTTCCCCTGCACCCGAAAATAAGGACCAAACATTTCGCTTTTGGGTCTCTAAGAAGACGTCAACTCCAGACCAGCGCATGGGCAGTCAAGGTTCTACTTTATCCAAGTTTCCGTACTTGTACAATTCACAAATCAATACTGACATCAACCAGAATTATGGACGTAATGACATGCATCCAGTATATTCCAATCAATCGAATCGATTTGTTGCAGCAAATGTCTTCAAACTCACGGGCCTAAACCACTTAGGGAATTTAACCAACGCACGTATCCTTAAAAGAAACCGAATTAAATATCCAAAAACTAATAGCAATCATATCGCGGATATGAATCCCTTCAACGAGAGTGAGGAGGTGTTAGATGTTGGTGACAAACCTCGCTGGCGGCTGCGACGCCCTCAACAAGGCTTCTCACACCAGAGGAACAATAGAGTGTCTCCCAACGCAGGTGATTTATGATTCGTGTACTTAGCGCAATTATCTTGGAATGGCTCTGTTATGTTATACATAAAAATTAATTTTTTACCTCCCACTGGCATGAGTCGTTTTTTTTTTTGTGGTCGCAAGCGCTCAATACGCGAATGAACAGGCAAAGTTTTTCTCCCTATTTCGGTTCGCTCACAAAGTGGGAGAGTGGAAGAGAGTCGTTATACTTACTATAATCCATCATGCACTTGTCAGCTGTTGGTTATTTCCTGATTAATTTGATGCGTGTGTGCAGAAATCAGTCAATGCAAACCTCACGAGAAATGCTCATAGAGCTTTTCTGGACGTGTGGTTCTGTATCGAAATTTCGAGTGCATGCATTGCATGCGTGGATGTTCTCGCAGTACACTTCTTTTCTATGTTGACTTGTGGGACCTGTGACGTAGACATGTAACTTATATTAAGCAATGCGGGTGATTACATTTTATACAACACTTCTCTTTAACTTCACTTCTTGTTTGTCTGTCTGTTTGTTTGTCTGTCTGTCTGTCTGCTACAAATCTTACAATCAAAATTTAACACACTTCTACCTATATCCTATCGATCTGAAATTTTGTACACTTACGTAAAGTTGAAGACAATGCATGAATCAAATGACAAATCAAATGATTTAAAAAAATGTCAATGTTAAAAAATTTGAAAAAATTATTTTGTCAGCTACAAATCTTATAACTGATATTTGACACATTTTTACCTGTCCAATTGATCTGAAATTTTGTACATTTGTGTGAAGTCGGAGGCAATGAATGAATCAATTGACGGGATGAATAATTAAAAAAAAATTTATAAGTATATTAAAAAGCTGAAAAAAAATCTTTTATTTAATATTCAAAAATAAAATGAGAAATTCATTGTACATCTGTAACATTGGAGACACTACAGTCTTTAGAAGTGTTGTCTTTAAAAAGTGATTTTTAAACGTATATTATTACTGTTTGGTTTCTCTTTCAATCATAAGCAGATGATGAGATTCTACATCGAACTGTCGTTTATTTACTGAAAATTTTGGTCCTTTTAAATAATATTCAGGGGCAAAAAATAAATTCACCTAATATCCATGTTCAAACAATCTCGTAGTTAGAGTTATTGGGTATTAACAACTTCATGCGTCAGTTCTTAATCTGACTGACGCGTAATTAAGGAAGCAATTTTTTTTCAATCAAGGGTTCTCTTGAGTGTTGGCGGGGTGCAGTATTTTTATATCACAAAACTTATTAAAAAAAAAATTAAGAAAGATGACAGAAATCCTTATAGCCAGAAAATCTCTCGAACTGAATATTGCTTCGTTGAATCTACTTAAATTTAACTTTGCATCAACGTCATTTGCTTTGTGGGCCGGTTTATTGTCATGTGAGGAAACAATACATCTTTGTACTTCAGGAAACTCAAAATATTGTCTAGTTACAACATCTGATTATTTTCTAAAAGCGCATTATTTCTTGCTGGATTGCGTAATGAATGCAATAATTAGGCCTAACGACCACAAGATGATTCCCATTGCATTCAAACAATCGTTGATACTCATAAAAGTCAAAT